AAACGGGGGAGAATAGAAGGTCATAGCGGAGCTGGCACTGGCTGCTGCTGACAGCCTGATGGTGGGAAAGATGGGTGGAGGGATGGGGGCGATGGGCTGGGAATAGGGGTGGGAGATGTGGCAGAATGGGGAGGGGAAATGGAGGGGAATGCGAAGAGCATAGCCGAGATCGCTACAGCCGAGCGCGCTACAGCCGAGCGCGCTACAGCCGGGAAGAGGATGCGGTTCCCGGAGCGACAGCTGGCGAGCATGTGGCCTCTCCATCCCTCTTGACCTCCTCTCATCCTTCTCCTCTCCTTCCCGTCTGACCTCCTTCCCTCCGTCCCTCATTTGTTCCTTCCCTGCTTCCCTTCTTCCCTCCTTGATGCGTTCAGATGGCCAAGGCAGCCTTGCAAGCGGCCATCAACAACGAGGCATACCTCACGGCCCTCGTCGGATTGGAACGGCGCTCGCTCATGGCTCGTTCCAACCCTGCTACTGCTTGTTTCCCCATCCTTCCCTCTTTTTTTTTTTTTCCTGTTGCTCTCTTCCCTCTGCTCCCCCTCCCTCCTTCAGATGGCCAAGGCAGCCCTACAGGCAGCCATCAACAACAAGGCATACCTCACGGCCCTCGTCAGCACCCTCACCGTCCGGCTGCTCTGCTGCCCGTGTGTCCCCCTGCTCCCCTCCTTGATGGGTGTTCAGATGGCCAAGGCAGCCCTACAGGCAGCCATCAACAACGAGGCATACCTCACGGCCCTCGTCAGCAACCTCACTGCCCGCCTGTCGGACGCTACAGCCGAGCGCGCTACAGCCGGGGAGCGGATGCGGTTCCTAGAGCGACAGCTGGCGGAGGGGAAGGAGAGGGAGCGGGAGGCGAGGGAGAGAGTGAGAGCGGCTGAGAGGGAGAGGGAGGGGCTGGTGGTGCAGGTGGAGAGGGTGAAGAGGAGCGAGGAGGAGGCGCGGCGGGAGGTTGGGGTGCTGATGCAGAAGCTGGACAGCGTCGCTGCTCAGGTGAGAGAGGTGTTCCCAAGTGTTGGAAATAGGGTTAGTCCTTTTTTAAGTCCCTCGCTCTCATGCAGAAGCTGGACAGCGTTGCTGCTCAGGTGAGAGAGACTGGTTGTGCTGGTAGGGGAAGGGACCCGAAAAGCCACCTCAGAGAAAGAAGGAGGGGTTGGTGGTGCGGGTAGGAGGAGGCGCAGCGGGAGGTTGGTGTGCTCATGCAGAAGCTAGACAGCATCGCTGCTCAGGTGAGAGTGGGGAGGGAGGAGGAGGGGGTGGTAGTTCAGGTAGGGCGAGTGGCTCTAAAAGGCAGGAGGGGGCTCTAAAAGGCTCCTCAGAAGGCGGGACTGTAGGATTCACGGCTCTGACCAAGGCCTCACGGCCGAAACGTGTTCGCCTACGTTCTTTACTGAAGTTGGACTTACCAAGTCCCGATTCTCCCTTTTTTTCCCACTCTGAATACTCCTAACTGTTAGTTAAGAATTTTGAGGAGACCACTCACTCCACTTGCTGCGGTTCGAACCCATATCCCTCCGTTTCGCCCAAGAGGGGGAAACTCTGGTCCCCCAGGTAGAGCGAGCGCTCCTCCTTCCTGCTGCGCCAGATGGAATCGATCAGATCCCTCCGTGTCCCCCCCACTCACCTCTCGCTCCCTCTCTCCCTTACTCCTCCCCTCCGTGTCTCTCTCTCTCGATTCCTCCCTTTCCCTGCCTCCTCCACCCTTGACAGTCCAAGGCAGCGGAACAAGTGGAGGGAGCGATACTCATCATGCGAGCACAGGTTGATGTCCTTCAAGCAGAGCTGGCAGCAGCGCCTCAATGCTCACTCCTCCCTCTGCTTTTCCCCTCCATCCCCGCACAGTCCAAGGCAGCGGAGCAGGTGGAGGGAGCAATCCTCATAATGCGAGCACAGGTGGACGTGCTTCAAGCTGAACTGGCAGCAGCGAAGCAGACGGCCGAGGCAGCCAGCGAGCGCTCCTCCTTCTTGCTGCGACAGATGGAACTGATCAAGTCCCGCCAGCAGCAGAAGCTAGAAGCGGCTGTCGCAGAGGCGGTTTCGGCTGAGCAGAAGAAGAGCGGTGGTGTTGGCAGTGGTAGCCCTGTGGCTTCTAACGCAGAAGCTATTATGGAAGCGGCTGTTGAGAAGCTCCAGAGGCAGCTCGCGGAGGCTCGGGCCGAGGCTGAGGCAGCTTCGGCGAACGTGGCGAAGCTGGAGGGGAGGGTCGGGGAGCTGCAGGCTAAGGAGAAGGAGGCGAAGGTGCTGCTGGGGCGGGCAGATGAAAAGATTTCGGACCTGTTTGTGCAGCTGTCGGCTGCCCGGGAAAAAGAGAAGGTGGAGGCAAAGGCTCTCATGAAGGCTCGGGTGGAGCTTGGGGAACTTTCTGGGAAGGTTACGAAGCTGGAGGTCGAGTTGAAGGAGAAAGAGGCTTTGGTGGGAGGCGTGGGGATGGGCGTTGGCGCTGCTGCTACTAAGATGGTGGTTGATCTTTCTAAGGGAGCGAAAGAGCTGCATAGCAGGTGAGAGAGGGCGAGGGAGAGACGGAGGGCTTGAGAGGGGACCAATTGATACGGGAAGGGCCCTGCTAGTAGGGGTGTGCGTGGGGATGGGCGTTGGTGCTGCTGCTACCAAGATGGTGGTTGATCTGTCTAAGGGAGCTAAGGAGCTCCATAGCAGGTGAGAGAGGGAGAGAGTGAGAGTGAAAGTGAGAGGGAGAGTGTGAGAGGGGAAGGGTCTTGCTAGTAGGGGTGTGCGTGGGGATGGGCGTTGGTGCTGCTGCTTCTAAGATGGTGGTTGATCTGTCTAAGGGAGCTAAGGAGCTCCATAGCAGGTGAGAGAGGGAGAGAGTGAGAGTGAAAGTGAGAGGGAGAGTGTGAGAGGGGAAGGGTCTTGCTAGTAGGGGTGTGCGTGGGGATGGGCGTTGGTGCTGCTGCTTCTAAGATGGTGGTTGATCTGTCTAAGGGAGCTAAGGAGCTCCATAGCAGGTGAGAGAGGGCGAGGGCGAGGGCCGAGCGTGAGTGCCAAGCCTGATACGCTGCAAGGGAGTGCTTGAATACAATGCAGTGCGGTGCGGTGCGGTGCAATGCGCTCCTTCTCCTCTTCCCCCTCCCCCAGCAGGCTTCAGGATCAAGTCGCCCGCCTGGGGCAGAGCGTGACTGCTAAGCCTGCTGCATCGGCTGTTCCTGATAAGGTGAGAGGGGTAGTTTGGGGACTGGGGAAGGGCGTGACTGGGGCAGAGTGTGACTGGGGCAGAGCGTGACTGGGGCAGGGCGTGACTGGGGCAGGGCGTGACTGTCAGGCCTGCTGCAGCAGCTGCCTTTGACATGGCGAGAAGGGTGTCTGGTAGTCAGTTTCTTGCAGCAGGGCTTGGGTGACTTTTGAGACGTCTCAAAAGTCTGACATGGTGAGAAGTGTGTCCGGTAGTCAGTTTCTTGCAGCAGGGCTTGGGTGCCAAGCCTGCCGCATCAGCTGTTTCTGAGGGCAGTGCCACCAACTTCTCCCTGCTCCGCTCGTTTGACGATGCTGTTGAGTTTGGTCATCGAATCTTCTGAAGCTGACTCAAACTTCTCCACCCGGCCGCCCCCTCTGCACCCCAATTAACTTTCAGGAGTAGTAGGAAATCATCGCAGCAGCGGCTAACCTGAGGGAAGCAGTGGAAGCACGTAACGCCCAGCTCGTGTTGTGATCTTTACAATAATCTCTCTTTCGCCTCCCCCATGTGAACCGCAGGAGGAGCAGGAGATTATTGCAGCAGCGGCTAACCTGAGGGAAGCAGTGGAGGCACTCAACTCCCCGGCTGGTGCCGCAACCAACGGCAGCGCCACCAACTCCTCTTCGCTCCGCTCCTTTGACGATGCTGTTGAGTTTGACTCCAAGTCTCCCGAAGCCGTGCCCGTGCCTGCCAAATACCGCAATGCCAATTGATTATTGAGCCAAGTGATGGAGCAGTGCGGTGGAGAGCGGCACTTGTGAAGTATCGGAACGCCGGCTGATTCTTGAGTCGACACCTGAAGCAGTGCTGAAACTGGCAATTGTTATATACTGGGTCGTCGAGTGGTTCTTCTCATCTGCGATTCTCCTGAAGCAGTGCGGGCCAGACCTATTGTTTCCTGCCAACCACCGGAGCGTGAAGTGTGATCTAATTCTTCTGCACTGCTCACTTGAGCGTGTTTATTTCTGGGGCAGCTCAGAATAGACTCCCTCGAGTGCATCTCGAGTGCTGCCATGTACGTGAATGTAGTCCCTGGGGGCGTGTACACCAACCATGTGTTTGTTTTGACCTGGTACTTTCTCTCATAGGGGGGTCGAGAATGTCCGGTCCGAACATCATCTTCATTTCTCCATGGCACGCCATCATCATACCCCCCATACCACCAACACCATCATAGCTTTGAGGCGCCTCAAAACTCCACGGCACACCATCATCATACCCCCCATACCACCAACACCATCATTCCGTGCCATGGCATCCGAACAGCCATAACCACCTCCACCATTATCGCACCTACAAAAACGTTCTATGTATTTTCCCTCTCTTCGATTCCCCTCCATTTGTTTTAAACCGGTAACCCCAACTCCTTTCGGGTTTGTGAGTGACAACCATGTGGGAATGGGGGCTGTTTATCAAAGGTGCATATTCAAGATACTAAAGCCTTGCGTGGACTCTATACTCCTGCTTTTGATTTCTTCCAACGTCTGAAGCGTGCTGCCTTTTGCTGTTGCTGTTGTTACTTTAGTGCAGCTTTCTGCATACACCATTGTGCGTTCACGTTTTGGTCTTGATATTGGCTGTTGCTGTTGTTACTTTAGTGCAGCTTTCTGTATACACCATTGTGCGTGCACGTTTTGGTCTTGATATTGGCGGTGTGGATGATTGAACGTAGTGGTGATGAAATTAATGCAGGCCAAGTGTTCCATGTTCTAAATCGGGCAACAGCGCGCTTTTGAGCAGGTGTTTGCTTAAATCCAACTGCTACGAACAAGTAAATTGCTTATATTTTCTCCTACATAAGGCACGAATCTTATTGATCACCTGCCTTTCCACTATCACCAACACCCTCTGTACACTCACTTCTTGCAACCTTCTCCAAGTCTTTCAACCTCTCTACGAGCACACTCGCCTCAGGCCTCTTGTTCCTTTTATCATTCAAACAGTGCTTCGCCAAAACCACCAACCCCATCGCCGACTTCCTCCCGAACCTCCCTTCCAGCCTCGGATCCATGAACTTGTCTAGGCTCGGCGCAGGATTGTCGAAGTAGGGATGGATTTGGTAGATTAGGTAAGTGGAAGACTCGGGTTCGACTGGAGGGCGGCCAGTTAGCAGCTCAAGCAGGATAATTCCGAAGGAATAAACGTCACTGGTGGCAGCCAGGTGACCTGAAGAGAGGAAGATGAGCGGGAGAAGAGGGGAAGAGAGGGCGGAAGAGGGAGGGAGGGTGGGGAAGATTGGAGTGAGATATGGAGTCAAGTAGTGGGCACGTGTGGTAGAGGTCACTGGTAAAAGCTAAGGGTTTGTGGTGATGTGCAGAGCCTATTTTTGAGTCGACTCAAAAATACACTGGTAAAAGCTAAGGGTTTGTGGTGATGTGCAGAGGGGGAGGTGCGTGGGAGAGAGAGGGTAGGGAAGGGAGGAGTCAAATCTGGTGGTACCACAGAAAAATAACGTTGCTCACTGATGATGAACGAACCAAAAAACAAACAGTAGCAGGCAGATCCTGATGCCTTGACCCTTAATGCCGCTGCAACCTTGTGTTGACCTACCAGTGTCCATGTATTCGGGGTCTAGATACCCCAAAGTCCCCTTTATTTGAGTGGAAACATGCGTCTTCCCCTCCTCTGGTCCCGCCCTTGCCATTCCGAAGTCCGTCACCCTGGCGCGCATGTGCTGGGGAGAGAGAAACGAGGGAGGGAAGTGGGGAGGGGAGGCGTGGTTAGCGGGAAAGAGTAGGCAAAGGCGGAGGGAAGGACAGAGGGTGGAAAAATATTGTCTCAAGACGCCACAAAAATTGTCTCTTACACAAAGTCATGCCAATTATAAGCCGCTCACACCTGGATTTTCACCTGAGCATTTCACACCACAGGCTCTCTCACCTGGTCCAGCAGGATATTGCACGACTTGACATCCTCGTGAATGATGTTCGACCCGTGCAGGTATGCCAGGCCCTGTGCTGCCCCAAGCCGCCCCCAACTGCCCCAAGCTGCCCTCCGCTGATCCCAGCTGCCCCATCAAGTGTGCTTACCTGGTCTAACAAGATATTGCACGACTTGAGGTCCCGGTGGATGATGTTCGACCCGTGCAGATAAGCCAGGCCCTGTGCTGCCCCCACAGCGATCCGTATTCTCTGCTGCCACGTCAGCACGGGGCAGGGCGAGTCTGTGACGTGGGGTGGGGGCACGATAGGAGGATGAGCGGGTGGGCGGAGGGAGGAAGCTAGGGTAGCGAGGAGGGGGGATGAGTGGGTGCGGGGGAGCGGGGATGAGTGGGTGCGGGGGAGGGGGGATGAGTGGGTGCGGGGGAGGGGGGATGAGTGGGTGCGGGGGAGGGGGGATGAGTGGGTGCGGGGGAGGGGAGATGAGAGATGGGGGGTAAGAAGCAAGTATACACCAGCATTGCCTAGTTCTACTGAGAGAAACGATGTGTGTGTGTGGGGGGGGGGGGGAGGGGGGATGAGAGGGGGTGAATATGCGCATGCCTGCATGTGTGTGTGTGTCTGTGTGTGTGTGTGTGTGTGTGTGTGGGTGTGTGTGTGGGTGTGTCTGTGCCCCACCTTGCAGTAACCATGTATCCAGCCCCCCATGTGGCATCAGCGCATACACCAGCATAGCCTGATTTTTCTGGGAGCAATATCCGATCAGATTCACCAAGTTGGGGTGTTTCAGCCGTCCCAGCAGCAGGATCTCAGCCTGTGGCATGGAAAATGGAACCGTGGAGGGGGAAAGGGGAGGAAACCATAAACCAAATCAATTGAATCAAATTATTTTTTTATAAGCAGTATTTATAATTACACATCATCCCCGTTACTAGCTCCCCGTGACACTCACCATCCACTCCGTCATTCCTTGAATGCTTTCTTCGTGAAGCACTTTAATCGCCACCTCCATCTTATCCGCTTTACTGCCTTTCGTTTTGCCACCATCCCCCTTATCATCATCCGCGTTAGTAGCATTCGCTTTACTGCCATCCCCGTTACTATCCTCCTGACAATCTTCAGCTCCTATTCCAGACAATTTCCCCCGGTAAACTTTCCCAAAGCTTCCTTCCCCCAACACGCGGCTCGAGTGGAACTTATTAGTAGCCGCTGACAGCTCCTTATAAGAGAAAGATATGAGGCCAGAACCGCCAGAACCGTCGAAACTACGACCGTTGGCCCGCGAAGCCCTAGGCTTTCCGCGTGGGCTGGAAAAGCCGTTACTAATAAACTTAAACATCGGTCGCGTCGCGACGAGCGGCCTATTCCTAGAAGAGACGGCGCGACAAGACAAGCCTCCTAAGCCTCGCGGGTTTCGAGTGTCTAGACTAGCGTGATATCAGGGCTGGCGTGTTGGCTGTGTGAAATACTTAAGCGCCTAAAAAGGAGACGCCAATATTATCGCCGGTTGCCTCGAACTCGCGTTGCATTAAGGCGGTGTCAGGTTGAAGCGTGCCGCGGAATCAGGCGGGCAGGACCTTACAGGACCGGGACTCGGCGTATCTAACTACCACATTGTCAACCCTTCAAATCATCTATGCTACTCGGCGGGAGGAGGCCGATAGCTTCCCAGTCATCTCCACAGCAGTAGAATAGCATCAGTCAACCTAAAAACTTCCGTCTCCTCATTTCTCCATTAGCAGAGCAGCGGTTTTGGAAAAAAGAGAACTTGCAATGCAACCTAGAAAACGCCGACTAGCAGCGGTGTCACCCCCTGGCAGCCGCAGCAGAGCTTCGCTAGCTGCCATTCCCCTGGGGCAGAGCTTCCCAGCAGCAGTGTTTTTGGCGGCTGCACTTGTATGCCCGAACTCGAGTATTTTGGCTCGGGATGTGAGTGACTGATCGCCTCGGACAAGACCGAAACGTTTAAAACCAGGCCAAACCGAGTGATCTGAAGTTACCAGCCAAACCTGGTCAAACTGACCTGAAAAGAACCAGCTGTAACCAGGCCGAACCGTTTCGAGCCCGAACCGAATCAAGTCGAGCCGGTCGGGAAGTGTGCCGAACGGCAGGTTGATTGGAGGGGCAGGTTCCTTTCCCTGTGTTCTCCAACATGTGTGGTACTGTACAGGGTTCCTCCAATCCAATGGACAAACCGTACCCTGTACCGTATACAATAATGCTACAGTAGTTGGAAACTCCTTTCAGTCCGGTGGTGAAGCACTAACGGGGATATTCTCTCTTTGGTTTCAGCCTAGACCCTCATGCTCGAGGTGGCTGTTGGTCTGAAAATGCTCGTCTGGCCCCTCAGAAAGTATTCCCCTTCCCAGTAGGGGAAGGTCGGTTGCGCATCGTATTCGCAGTAGGTCCAGTTCTACGCGCTCCCGCGTGAGAGACAGCGTGTGTTTCTAGTAACGTAGGCGACTGGAGCAATTGCAACTTTATAATTAACTCATAGTAGGATCAATCGTAACTGACGCGACCGGTTATTGCGAAGCGAAGCGGCCGATTCCTCGTGCGGATGGCGAAGGAGTTAGCGGGTTTCATGGAGAGGTATTTCCGAGGCGCCTAAAAGAATGTACTTTCCGCCTACCTTAAAGCCCGTGTCCCAAACTGCGGAACGCGCGCGTCAAGTTTTTAAAACTTGACGAAGCTGAGTGTGCAAGCTTTGAAAAGCAGCGCACCTGCAATTTGGGACTTTCGAAGTGTGACCCCACTCACCAGAGGGAAATCCGGGGGCTGGCTGGGTTTGGCGAAAAAAACGATTTTGACGAAATCCGAAACAGTCACCCAACCCAAGACCAGAAAAACACCCTCTCGTCAACTTTTAAAAGGATGAACAATTTGGGCTGCCGGCTGTAATTTGTAAAGAGGTATTTATTGTCCTTACGATAATCCATTTCTGCGGTACTTCCGCCTTGCGGTATTTTTGTCCATTTCTTCCTCTTTTCTCTCTCCTCGCTTCTCTGCTTTTTGTCTCTTCTGTTTTCTGACTCGCCCGCAGCTTCGAGGTAGCAGAGGCTTTTCACAGGAGAGGAGACTTTTGAGTCGACTCAAAAGCCTTCTCTGCTTTCTGTCTCTCTTCTGTTTTCTGACTCGCCCGTAGCTTCGAGGTAGCAGAGGCTTTTCACAGGAGGGGAACTGCAGCCCTCTCTGTCTTTGAACACACCCTTTGCCGCTGCATGCCCATGGCTAGACGTACCGCTCCTCTTGAGTCGACTCAAAAGCAGCCCTCTCTGTCTTTGAACACACCCTTTGACGTATGCCCATGGCTAAACATACCGTTCCTCTCTCATCTCTATCCTTGCTTCTCTGCTCTATCCTCCCTTCTATTTTCCGCCTCACACCAACAGCTTCGAGGTGTCAGAGGCTTTCCATAGGAAGGGAACTGCAGCGCTTTCGTCGTTCCTATCAGCACACGGTATGGTATGGTGTGGTGCGGTGCTATGTGTGGCACGATGGCGTGGTGGTGTGGTATGGTGTGGTCTGAGGCGGTGTGGCGTGACGGAGCGTGGGGTGGCGTGGCGTGGTGTGAGTGCGTGGTGTGGTATGGTGTGGTGTGGTGTATGTGCGGTATGAGTAGGGTGCTGTTTATTATAAACGATGAACATTGGCCCTTCGATGGTATCAGAGCAGTTCCACTGTTCATCTGCTGAATCATGTCAGAGATTCCCATTTTGCTTCCAGCATCGTCGCCTCTCTTACTCGACTTCCTAACCTCTCCCGTCCATTCCCCCTTCCCTTAACCCTCTTCCGCTTCCCCCTTTTCGTCCCCGCTTTTCCCTTTCCCCCTTGTTCTCGCTCCAATTCCTGCCGCAATACCCGCCCTCACCATCCATGGTATCAGAGTAGTTCCACTGGTCATCCGCTGAAGTCATCTCACAGTCCCTTCTCGTATCCCGCATCCTTACCTCCTTCCATTCCTTTTCACCTTCTCCCTTCTGTGTTCCCCGTCCCTTCCCTGCCGCTCATGTTATCAGATTCCTTCCACCGCTCATCCGCTGAAACCATCTCATAGTCCCCTCTCGTATCAAACATCCTCCCATCCTTCCTTCTGTCCACCCCTCCTTCTCCTTCCCTCCCTCCCCCCTCCCCCGCTCCCCCTACACCATTCATTGGTATCAGAGTCCTTCCACAGCTCATCCGCTGAAGTCATCTCACAGTCCCCTCTCGTATCAGGCATCCTGGCCTCCTTCCAATCCTCTTCACCTTCTCCCTTCTGTTCCCCAACCCTTCCCTGCCGCGCATGGTATCAGAGTCCTTCCACCGCTCATCCGCTGAAACCATCTCATAGTCCCCTCTCGTATCAAACATCCTCCCATCCTTCCTTCTGTCCACCCCTCCTTCTCCTTCCCTCCCTCCCCCCTCCCCCGCTCCCCCTACACCATTCATTGGTATCAGAGTCCTTCCACAGCTCATCCGCTGAAGTCATCTCACAGTCCCCTCTCGTATCAGGCATCCTGGCCTCCTTCCAATCCTCTTCACCTTCTCCCTTCTGTTCCCCAACCCTTCCCTGCCGCGCATGGTATCAGAGTCCTTCCACAGCTCATCCGCTGAAGCCATCTCACAGTCCCTTCTCGTATCCCGCATCCTTACCTCCTTCCATTCCTTTTCACCTTCTCCCTTCTGTGTTCCCCGTCCCTTCCCTGCCGCTCATGTTATCAGATTCCTTCCACCGCTCATCCGCTGAAGCCATCTCACAGTCCCCTCTCGTGTCCTGCATCCTTGCCTCCTTCCAGTCCTCTTCACCTGTACCCGACCCAGCCAGAGCGCCAACAGCAGCATCACCATCACCATCAGCAGCATCAGCAGCACCACCATTATCACCAGCATCAGCACCATCACCATCATCAGCACCAGCACTTGCACCAGCATCAGCGTCACCATTCTCGTCGCCTCTGGCTGAGTACATGGCTGCTTGCTGCACTCGCCCTTCCAAGCAGCAGCAAGCTGCTGTCACATGTACGTTCAGTCACATGTATGAACCACCACTGTCAGCAGCACCGCCACCATCGCCATCATCAGCATCACAATAGTCATCACCATCATCAGCATCACAATAATCATTACCAGCACCATTCTCATCGTCACTGGCTGAATACATGGCTGCTGGCTGCACTCGCCCTTCCAAGCAGCAGCAAGCTGCTGTCACATGTACGTTCCAACACTGCCAGCAGCACTAGCAGTAGCATCATCACCATCACCATCACCACCATTTTCATCGCCACTGGCTGAATACATGGCTGCTGGCTGCACTTGCCCCTCTCAAGCAGCATCAAGCTGCTATCACATGTATGATCCCTTTTCATCCTTTTCCCCGTTCACCTTTCCCTTCGCACCTGCTCATCAAATCCGTCCAAAGCCACCATCACAAGTTCGACTCCTATTCTTCTTTCTCCCAGCTCACGTTTCCCACCTTCTTCACCTTCCGCCACACCTCTTTCCTCCTCGTTTCCTCGCTCGAAGCAGCACAAGCCTGCTATCATCTATGCGTCCGTTGATATCCTTTCCTCTTTCTAATTCTGCCTTCTATGTCTCCCTGCCTCTCGTGTCCTTTCTAAACGGCAGTACACACCTCCCTCACCCTGCTGGAGCAGCTGGTGGCGTTGGCATCTACTCAAGAGTCTTTGTCACTCCACCTGCCTTGCTTCCCCTCACTGCCTTCCATTTCTCCCTGCCTCTCGTGTCCTTTCTAAACGGCAGTACACACCTCCCTCACCCTGCTGGAGCCGCTGGTGGCGTTGGCATCTACTCAAGAGTCTTTGTCACTCCACCTGCCTTGCTTCCCCTCACTGCCTTCCATTTCTCCCTGCCTCTCGTGTCCTTTCTAAACGGCAGTACACACCTCCCTCACCCTGCTGGAGCAGCTGGTGGCGTTTGCATCTACTCAAGAGTCTTTGTCACTCCACCTGCCTTGCTTCCCCTCACTGCCTTCCATTTCTCCCTGCCTCTCGTGTCCTTTCTAAACGGCAGTACACACCTCCCTCACCCTGCTGGAGCAGCTGGTGGCGTTGGCATCTACTCAAGAGTCTTTGTCACTCCACCTGCCTTCCTTCCCCTCACTGCCTTCCATTTCTCCCTGCCTCTCGTTTCCTTTCTAAACGGCAGTACACACCTCCCTCACCCTGCTGCAGCAGCTGGTGGAGTTGCATCAGGTGAGCTTGCAGCAGGTAGCCATGTAACGGTGTAACCAGGTAACCATGTAACTGCGTTACTATGCAGGAGACAGTCTGATCTGAAATGGACGATATTTATTGCACTGCCACCTCGCGCTTTCTTTGAGAGACCCCCCACGTGTGCGTGTGCTTATGCGTGCATGTGTTTATGTGTGCATGTGCTCATGTGTTTGCCTTCCCACACATGCAGGAGACAGTGTCTGGAATGGAAGATATTTATCACACTGCCAGCTCATGCTTTCTTGAGAAAACCCTCGACGTGTGCATGCGTTTATGTGCATGTGCGTCATTTGTTTATTGTCCCACACATGCAGGAGACAGTGTCTGAAATGGAAGATATTTATCACACTGCCACCTCACGCTTGTTTGAGGAGAATCTGCATGTGTCAGCCCAACCTGCTGGTGATGATGGTGTTGCTGCTGCTGCTGCTGCTGCTGCTGCTGTCAGTGGTGATATTGCTGATGTTCAAAGTACGAATGCTGCTGCTGCCAGTGCTGACGATGATGGTTCTGATGACGAGAACCATTTGGGAGGAGCAGCAGGAGGGACAAGAAGCAGTGTAACAATGCAAGCTGATGTGGTAACCATGATGGCAGCTGTGCTGGAAATGCTCAAGGAAGACCTTCAAATGAAGGTGAAAGTTTGCTCCCGCCAGCTACTACTGCTTTAATTTTTTTCCTCTACCATGTTAGACTCGTTCAGTGTCTCATTCCCCCCACTCTCCTCCCCTTGCACGCTCCCCCGTCTATCCCCTTTTCATTTTCTCTACCCATTCGTGCCGTATTCAGCTCACTATCGTTGCAGACCTCTCCCTATCCACGTCAGCTGCGCATGTGGCGTCATATTCGATGATGTGGCAACTTCGGCCATTTGTGGATGAAAGGGTAATGAAAGAAGCCACCAGATGGGCAAGTAGGATGAAGGTAGAAACTGCCAGTTAGAATCATGGCAGCTTAGATAGCTCTAATGCAATATGATCTATGGTATTAGTTATTGGAGCCATACTAACAATTTAGTTGATATATCTCGCTGAGTCCCCTTCTACAAGTACATCTACTACATGTGCCCTACAGCGAACCACGCTGATATCGGGTACGGGCACAGAAGTTTGCTGAAGAAGGATCATGGTGGAATAGCGAAGCCCCGAAAAACGAATCCGCCTGGCACTTCCTCCACAACCCATACCTCCCAACCAAACCAACCCACCAGCATCCTGCCATGGCTTCCATTCAGATCCTACCGAATTGTACGATTTTCTGCCATCTATGCCTCTAGGTCACAGGTGCCTGGATTGTCGCTCACATCTCACTAGCAGGATGGCGTTGTGTGACCAGTCATGGTGCGATCGTTTGGACGCTCAGCCAACCCAAGCATCCCAGCCACTTCAGCAATCACCATTCTCAGGAATCCCTCCGCACTGTGGCTTTTATTCCATTCCCTGAGCAATATTCGCGAAAAGGTATCCCATAGCCTCTCTACCGTGAGTTCAACAACGACAAGATCTGAAGAAACATTCGGAAACTCAGTAGCTCGGTGCACCGGATTCGGGCCCGCAATGTCGAGCGCGAGAAAAACGGCAGCCGTCGCAAGTTTGAAAGCGGCAGCGGAAGAATCTGCGCGAGAGGTGAGTTTGCGGAGAGGGGATTTGGAATTTACACTTCATTGTAGTTGTTCAAAAACCGTCGTGTACTTTGTTTGTGACGAGTCGTTTTGTTGGATAATTTCTCGATCCGGTTTTATTTTTCCAGGCAGATGCTGTCAGCGGCAAAGGGCAGCATCGAGGAAAGTTCGTGAACGCTCACCAAGCGAGGCTCGCCAAGATCGAAGCGGCCAAGGCCAAGAGAGCAGCAGCCGCTGCTGCCGCGTCCGGTGGTGCTGCTGCTAATTCCGCTTCTAAGTCTTATAATTCCGCCAATGGGTAATGAAAGCAAGGTTAGTTTTGTAACTCACCTGACTCTTTTGCCTCCTTAGTTTCCTCCCGGAGGGGCTGTGGGTTGGAGCTCATTGAGTGCTACATGTGCTTGATAGTCGCTCTATTCCATAGTGCCATCGCCTCTTAAAGCCGGCCTCCGGGGAAATTTACTGGGAGCATTGTCAGAAGTGGCATGCCTCTGTGGTGTCCATCTCTTGGAATGTTCCTACAACGAGTTACAGTCACCTTCGTTTGATCCACATTTTTCATTTCCATTCTCAATTGGGTTGGGAAATGCTTACCGTACGTCAGTTCTGTTTCTGTCCATTTTCCCATCACCAGTTCTTTTCCTCAAGCCTACTGCATCATCATGTACTGTTCTTAACCACAACTCACATGTGTTTGTTCTCATGTCCCTTGTTTCCGTTTTTCCTCTAGCAGGACAAGGCATAAGACGCATGCTTCATATTTATGGAAGTCAAACCAATTGTAAATAGACATGAGACGATAACTATCATATCGGGACTTGTGCTTTGCTGTGTGTTGCATGTTTGTTGACGCAATGAGGCGATACTTGCTCTTGATACTCTGGGGTATTGTCTATCAGTTAGTATCAAGGAGTAACTAATCTGTGAAGGGACCGGTGTTTGCATGTCTTATTGTCCAATTTGAGAGCACTTCCAGCAGGACTACCGTATTAATGCTGATACGTCCGAGGAACTCATGTAGCGAACAGTCGCGTAGGTCCCACATTCATCCTATAGTCGCGTGTACAGGGGGTCATTTACGCACTGCCGTTCGGGAAAAGATTGAGATACCTTCTAACGCGGATCGTGCGTCAATCACGCTCCAAGCCGCTTCACTCAACACTCCGAGAGACTTGGCGCCACCTAAGCAGCGGCGAGTACGAGTAATTCGTCTCCTCGCGCGGCCAACGAACCCTTTCATGAGCGCTCACCATTGCGCTTCCGACCCGCGATGCAGCTGCTGGTAACCTATGAGTCAGCTTAGGCCGTTAGGCGAATTTCCTTCGGGATTGCCGAGACGATTCGTCCTCGAGATTGGGTGACCAGCGAACGCTTGCCATGGCGATTCCGGCCAGCGAAGTGGCGGCGAGTGCAGCGGCCGCGTTCGCTTTCACGGCCGCCAATCGCAGCTGCATCATCGTCAGTCCGAAGCAGGTACCTTTGAGATGTGTCACAGAGAAAGCTTACTGAGTCTCCACACAAGTTCAATGCAGCTGCATCACTGTCAGCCCAAAACAGGTACCTTTGAATGTCTCACATGGAAAGCTTACTTAGTCTCCACCCAAGGTAATCGCAGCTGCATCACTGTCAGCCCGAAGCAGCTAGCTTTGTGTTACGGAGAAAGTTAATGGAGTCTCCACACAAGTTCAAAGCAGCTGCATCACTGTCAGTCCGAAGCAGCTAGCTTTGTGTTACGGAGAAAGTTAATGGAGTCTCCACACAAGTTCAAAGCAGCTGCATCACTGTCAGTCCGAAGCAGCTAGCTTTGTGTTACGGAGAAAGTTAATGGAGTCTCCACACAAGTTCAAAGCAGCTGCATCACTGTCAGTCCGAAGCAGCTAGCTTTGTGTTACGGAGAAAGTTAATGGAGTCTCCACACAAGTTCAAAGCAGCTGCATCACTGTCAGTCCGAAGCAGCTAGCTTTGTGTTACGGAGAAAGTTAATGGAGTCTCCACACAAGTTCAAAGCAGCTGCATCACTGTCAGCCCGAAGCAGCTCTCTTCCTCTTCCAGCGATACCTCCTCCTGCACCGAAAATGTATTGGTGCTCCTTCTGAGAATTCTTTAAAGTAACAACAGCGATACCTCCTGCTCCCAAGTTAGGTCTAGTTGACTCAAAGAAGGATCCGTCCAGTTGACTCAAGAAGGACCTTTTCCTCTCTCTCCCCCCTCTGCTCTGCATGGCAGAGATGCAACCCCATGCTCTCTCACATCAGGAACGTGAGATGGGCGATTGGGACTGGAGAAGAAGGACCTTTCCTCTTTCTCCCCCTTCTGCTCTGCTCTATACCTCAGAGGGGCAATCCCGTGCTCGCCCATATCAGGAACGTGAGGTGGGCCTTTGGGGAGATCACACCCGGCTACCTCCTCTCCCCCTCGTCCTACGCTCTCTCGCCCTCCTCCCCTTCTCACATAAGTCTCTTGTCTCCTTTCTACTCCTCTCCGCCCTGTACCTCAGAGGGGCAATCCCGTGCTCACCCACATCAGGAACGTGAGGTGGGCCTTTGGGGAGATCACACCCGGCTACCTCCTCTCCCCCTCGTCCTACGCTCTCTCGCCCTCCTCCCCTTCTCACATAAGTCTCTTGTCTCCTTTCTGCTCCTCTCTGCCCTGTACCTCAGAGGGGCAATCCCTTGCTCACCCACATCAGGAACGTGAGGTGGGCCTTTGGGGAGATCACGCCAGACTCCCTCCTCTCCTCCCCCCCTCCTCCTGCGCGCCCTTGGCTCCTCCTGCGCCCTCTCCCCCTCCTCCCCTTCTCACAGAACTCCCCCTTCTCTTCTCCCCTCTGCTCTGCCATGCCCTGTTCTGACAGAGAGGCAACCCCGTGCTTTCTCACATCAGGAACGTGAGGTGGGCGTTTGGGGAGATCACGCCAGACTATCTCCTCTCCCCCTCCTCATGCGCGCTCTTCCTCTCCTTGCGATACCACCTGCTGCACCCAGACTACCTCTATTTCCGAATCAGGTGATTGTTAGTCAGGAGTATGGATCTGGGTTTTGGGGGAATCACTCCAGACTATCTCCTCTCCCCCTCCTCATGCGCGCTCTTCCTCTCCCTGCGATACCACCTGCTGCACCCAGACTACCTCTATTTCCGAATCAGGTGATTGTAAGTCAGGAGTATGGATCTGGGTTTTGGGGGAATCACTCCAGAGTATCTCCTCTCCCCCTCCTCATGCGCGCTCTTCCTCTCCCTGCGATACCACCTGCTGCACCCAGACTACCTCTATTTCCGAATCAGGTGATTGTTAGTCAGGAGTATGGATCTGGGTTTTGGGGGAATCACTCCAGAGTATCTCCTCTCCCCCTCCTCATGCGCCCTCTTCCTCTCCTTGCGATACCACCTGCTGCACCCAGACTACCTCTATTTCCGAATCAGGTATATTTTAGTCTGTATTGGGCTCCCTAGTAATGAATCATGCTGCTCTTCCTCTCCCTGCGATACCACCTGCTGCATCCAGACTATCTCTATTTTCGAATCAGGTGATTAAAGCTTGTCCTGTATCAGTCTATAATGGATCGTCCTACTCTTTCTCTCCCTGCGATACCACCTGCTGCATCCAGATTACCTTTACTTTCGTTTCAGGTAATTCGAAGCCTGTATCGGTCTAGTTTAGAACGAATTATGTTTTTCTTTCCCCTCCTGATTTTCTACCCGCTATTGCACCCTGATTATCTCTACTCTTTGATTCAGTCAGACCTGTGCCTGTTTTTTTTATATCTCATGCTTTCGTTTACTGACATATTGACCAATGACCTTTTCTGTGTCTCTGCCTTTCGGCCAATCAGGGAGCTGCAGAAGAGCTTCCGCCTGCGAATCGTGCTGTGCCACGTGGACGTTGATGACGTCACCAAGCCACTGCATGATATCACCAAGACAGCCCTTTTGAATGATTGCACTCTCCTTTGCGCATGGAGGTGAGATGCAGTATGTGATTCTGTCAGGATTATAGTATGTGTTTCCCAACCTCCTTTCACCCCTCTCTCCCATCCTCTGCGTTCCTGCCTTCCATTCTCTCAGTCCCAGTGACTGTGCTCGATACCCAGAGGCCCTCAAGAGCGATTAGAACAAGCCGGTTCATTGCTCCCCCTTCACTTACCGTTCTGTCTGCACCTCTTCCTTCCTGCCTTCCATCCTCTCAGTCCCAACGACTGCGCTCGATACCCAGAGGCCCTCAAGAGCGGTCAGAACAAGCCGGCTGACTGTTCTCCTCTCTTTCCTGCTCTCCCACCCACTGCCTTCTGCCCTTCCAGTCCCAACGAGTGTGCGCGGTACCTGGAGAATCTCAAGAGCTATGAGAACAAACCACCTCAGTGCTATTTCATGTCTCTCCTTCTTCCATCTCTCTGCCCTTCTTCCTTCCTGCCTTCCATCCTCCCAGTCCCAACGAGTGTGCGCGGTACCTGGAGACTCTCAAGAGCTATGAGAACAAACCGGCAAACGGCATTCAGGAGCGGGTGGACAGTGATTATATCTCACGGGTAAGGGTTTAAGGAGAGCTTTTGTTGTCTTGCCCACCCTCAGCCTGTCTACACGAATGCGAATGGATAGTGACTAGCCTCTTGGTAATGTTGACAAAATGCCACATCCCCTAATGATATTTTGTTTGGGCACTGGTGATTCGGGATGAATAAGTATGCTGTTCGATGCTCTCACTCGCTCCCTCCTCTTGCCCCCCTCAACTTCATTTGTGATGTCAACCACACCAATGCTCTCACTCCCTCCCTCCAAATTCATGTCGGGAGTAGCAGCGCCCTAACATCTATTCTCACTCCCTCCCCCCTCTTGCCCCTCAACTTCTTTTGTGATGCCAATCGCGACGATGCTCTCAAACTCTCCCTCCCGTCGTTAAACCCCCTTCACTAGCCCTCAACCCCCCCTCCCCCCTCCTTTTCCTCTACCCCACTCTCCAGCTCACCAGCGCTAACATTTTTTCGCCATGTCAGCAGCACCGATGCTCGCACTCTCGAGTCGACTCAAAAGTCACCTCGACTCAAAAGTCGACTCAAAAGTCTTTTGAGTCGACTCAAAAGTCACTCCGATGCTCGCACTCTCTTGGCTCTGTCCCTCCTTTCTAAGCCGCCCTAAACCCACCTCCAATTCCCTCACGTCCATTCGCCATCTCAACCGCACCGATACTCTCACTCTCTTAACTTTGTCTCTCCTATCCCACGTCTCCCCCAGCTGTCCCGTTCTCCCACCCGCCTCCAATCCCCTCCCTTTTCCTTTCCCCGTGCCCGCTCTCCAGCTCTCCAGCGCCCTCACGTCCATCCGCATGTCAACAAAACCGATGCTCTCATACCATCTCCTCTCCCTCCCTTCTAAACCCCCTTCACTACCTCCCATCCCGCCGCTCCCCCATCCCCCTTGTCTCTCCAGCTCACCAGTGCCCTCACGTCCATCCGCCATGTCAATAAGACCGACGCTCTTACTTTGGGGACTAACTTTGGGGTGAGTGAGTGTGTGTGTCTGTGAGCGTGTGTGTGAGTGAGTGTGTTAACCTATGTGTAAGTGAGGGAGGTAGCAATACAAGATAGGAGCTCGCCATTCGGGGATGTCAATTTCTTTAGTGCTTCCATCCCTTGTGTTTATTCTTGTGCTGTCCATCGCCAAACCCTAGCCAACAACATGGGAATGGTGACTTGGTGCCTTTTTTGAGGCGCCTAAAAAATGTTGACTCGGGTATTTTTCCCGGGCTTGTTTTCTTTTTGCCAAATCAGTTCGCGGCATTGTGATGTACTTGCTTGCAAGTTTTGAGGGATTTGTGACACGGGCTTTCACGCCAACATTCTGCCCTGTAATCTGTCGTCTTTCGTTCTAAGCATAAGAGTTCTCATGCTGTAGTTACATCATGCCTTGCCTTGTCGTTATTTCTCGTGCCCATTTTGAGCAGACTCTGGCCAACATCATGGGGGCATCAATGGACGAGCTCTCGCGGTGCCCAGGGATAGGAGAGAAGAAGGTGTGTACCATGGTGGTGTGCGGTACAGAGGTTTATGTGTGTGTGTGTATGTGTGGTGATGTACGGCTATGAGATGTTTGATGTGGTGGCGTGCGGTTATAAGGTCTGTATTGTGTGGTAAGGAGACAGAAGAACAGCATGGGAGCATCAATGGACGAGCTTTCGCAGTGCTTTGAGAAAAGAGAGAAGAAGGTGTGTGCATGTGTTGACGTGGTGCTGTGCGGTACTGACGTTGTGTGGTACTGAAGTGTGGTGATCAGGTGGTGTGCGGTAACGAATCGTGTTGATGTGGTGGTGGAGTGGTACAGAGGTTTGCGTGTGTGGTGAGGTGACAGAAGAACAGCATGGGGGCATTGACGATGTTCTTATGGTTCGGTCCCCCAACACCACCAGATCAAGTGACTGTTCGCTCTGCCCGACCTCAAATGCCTATGCCTGTGTTTCCGCTCGCCTGTGTTTCATGCATAAAAATGCATCATCATGTTGTTTCCACTACTCATCACCACCAGATCCAGTGGTGTGCCCGTGAGCCTATCTTTCTGACACCGCAAAAATCATGCTCTCCAGATTCACTGGGCTTAGTTTGTGCTGCTGTGCCCCGTCCTCACCAGATCAAGTGGCCGCACAATAATTTCCATCTTTGAGACCCGATCTTTGAGACGTGTGCAGAAAGCGTAATCGTCAGACTCACTTGCCTTCGTTTGTGCCCCCGCATCCCATCATGTTGTTCCCACACCCCCATCATGTCGTTCCCACACCCCATCATGTTGTTCCCACACCCCATCATGTTGTTCCCACACCCCATCATGTTGTTCCCACACCCCATCATGTTGTTCCCACTCCCCATCATGTTGTTCCCACACCCCATCGTGTTGCTCCCACACCCCATCATGTTGCTCCCACACCCCATCCTCACCAGATTAAATGGCTGCACGATGCCTTCCATGAGCCGTTTCGACGGAGAGGATCCAAACAGGCCAAACTGGCCCTCCTTCCTGCTGCTGCTGGTGCTGCTGCCGTTGGTACTGCTGCTGCTGGTGCTGCTGATGGTTCCGCTGGTCCTGCTGATGGTTCCGCAGGTGTTGCTGATGGTTCCGCTGGTGTTGCTGATGGTTCCGCTGGTGTTGCTGATGGAGCTGCTGCTGCTTGTGGCTCCACTGCTTCTGGTGGCGCTACTGCTGGTGAGAATGGTGTTAATGATTGCACTGCTGCTGCGACTGCTGACGCTGCCACTACTATCACCATGGTTAACACTGCCACTACCGCTGCTAATGTGGAGGTTGCTGGGGATGGCAACGCTGCCGCTGCACCAACAGATAAACCTCCGGTCCTTCATGCTGCTAGCAGTGCAGTCAATACAGAGGATGACCGCATTCCAAGCAGGGAGTTTCCTGAACAACAGCCTTCAGATCTAGCTGATTTTCGTGCTGCGTTTTCTCATATCCGACCTGACACGTTTTGAGACATCTCAAAACTCGCTCTCATGTCCGACCTGACACCATATGATTAGACGGGCATGGCAGTCACTTGTTCATTCTGTTGCTTCCGTCCATTCTCTTGTACATAGCATTACAGAAATCAAGCATGATACCGGTACGGTAGTTGAGAGACTGTTGGTTTCAAGCATGATCTTGGTTTCTCTTTTACCTACGAAGGATGTTGGACGCAAGGCGTTGTGATGCCTTTTGAAGGGGTTTGTTATACCCTAGCTGCCGTGCTTGACATGACACATGCCACTTTCCCTCTCCTCCACTTCTGCGTCTCTCAACCTCTCACCTGGACCTCCTCTCTTTAGAGAATTCTCAAAGGCCATGTCATGCCATTCAAGGATCTGCATTTCAGTTCGCGAGGGAAATGCACATATATCCACTCGCTGAATATTAGTCAACATGATTGCACTTATGAATAAGCCTGACCTAGGGCAGGTATCCCAGGTGTTGAAATTATCGCCTATGAAAATAAGGACTAGGTGTACAAGGGAAGGTGAAGATGAAACAAAGTAGCACATGCGATGGCGAAGCGCAGTGGTACAAGGGATGGTGACACGCACCATAAGCACATGGGATGATGAGCAACAACGTCCTCCTTTAGAATATATATATAAAATCAAAGTCATGCATCACTGCCACCTTTATTTGCTTCGTGGGCACCTGCTGTTCAACAGCAGGCAGCAAGTTAACGGCCCTCTAAGCAAGAATGCCAACCCACTAGGCTTCATACATATGCATGGCAGATGCCTTAGGGGATACCTCCATCCCCTTCTCCAGTGCCCCTTACCCCGCCGCAGTGATAGAAAATCCCAAGTTAACCCTACAAAAATAGGGAAATGCGCTGCTTGGACCCACTGTGCTGCATCACCAACCCAGCCAGTCCCCGATTCTTCATGCCGCTGCCACCACCGTTTACTCCAAAGCCTGCTTGAGGCCGTTGGGTTTTACATACAAGATGCTGTTGCTGTTCCACAGAACAAACTCGAGCGCGTTATTAACAGCCTCGGTAGGGTTATAGTCGTCCCACCACACGGATTTGGCCGGTTCGTCGCAGACGGATGCGGTGTAGTTCTTGCCGCCCTCCTCCACGGTCTGCCCGCAAGAAATTCGCTCGCCCTTGGGGGTTTCACCCTGGCAGCACGGAGTGAGCTTGCTGGTGAAAGCTGCAGGGCAGGAACAACGAAGAAATGCAAGGCAGAAAAGAAGGGCGGATGAGTATTCAAGAAACAAGGTACAGAAAGCCACGGGTGTAAGCATCACAGGATGCAGGAGAAGCAGAAACATTAGGAAGAACGTGAAGGCATGGAAACTGCAGGGGGGGGGGGGGGGGGGGGGGGGTTGAAATACCATAAGTTCATCGCGGAAAATGGGTTTGGCACAAGGTTGTCGGGCGGCCTTACCAGTTCCGTCCTTGAGCAGAAGATTCTCGAATCCGCTGGACATGCGGAACAGAATCAAATCCTTCACTCCCGCCGCCCGCAGCTTGTCGAGCTTCATGGACAGCGCCTGGTTGTGATCCGCCGCGATCTGATTCGCCGGCTCGTAGCACCCCGCGGACTCGCTCACGAGACCCTTAGCTAAGCGCACGGCGGGAATGCAGCCGAGAGGCGGCAGGTCGTAAACAACGAACTTAGTGGCGCGCGTGGTCTTGAAGAGCACGAGAATAGCATCGACGATGGCGTTGGTGGTGGAAGAGACGAGGTCTGCTGCTGCTTTGTCGCCTCCGTCCCCGAGAATCGCATCGAGATAATCGTTTGTGCCGATGCTGATAACGAAAACAGCAGTGTTGAATTTCTGAGGAGAGGTGCGGAGAGGGATTGGCAGCGGAGAGGAAGGGGAGAAGAGGAGGAGGAGAATGATTAAGAGTGGCAGTGGCAGTGGAATGGCAAAGTGAGACAACACAAAAGTGTAGATGGTGATGCAGAATAGAAATCTCTAATGGTTGGGAAGTGAGGGGGACAAGGAAGGGGGTAGCGGGGTTTCGAAAAAGGGGCATCAACGACTAGCGGGGTTTAGAAGAAGAGGCAGTAAGAGGTTCAACTCACCATTGCCCTGCGGTCGGCAACGTACTGACTAAAGAACTCCAGCTGGTGCTGCAGGCTCCACGTCTGCACGTGATAGCATGATGGGGACGTGCGGACGGAAGATGAAACACACTTCATTTAAAGGGGTAAAAGATAGCGCATGTGGAAGCAGCATCGTGCAAAACGTTAATCGCAGAAGAAGGAGAAATTAATAACTGTGAAATTCAGTGGCAGTCGAAAGCTTCACGAGCGCGCACGCACACGCACCTGGTTGCTGTTGATCCAGGGCTTAGTTCCGGCGCCCGCGGTGGCGAAGCTGGTGCCTTGCTTTGAGACGAGCGACTTGGTGATGTAGGGCATGAGGTAATCGCTGCCCATGTCCTCGGCTGG